TCTCAGCTAGCCCAGCAGGTCCCAGAGGTCTGAACTCTGCTCAGCCAGGAGCAAGGCCCTGGCACCACACATTGGGGGTACATCCTGCTTGCTCACAGAGGATCTGAGCTCTGCCCAGCCCAGCAGCCCAGTGCAATCCATCAGGGGAATGCCCAGCAACCCTCAAAAAAACCAAAGTGTTATTCAGGAAATTAAAAATTCCACTGAAAGCTGGCAAAACCACTTGAATTAAGCTAACAATAGACTATTAGACCTTCAAGATGGAATGGAAGCTTATGATCATGAAAGAAAAGATCTCAACAATAACAAGGAACCAAAAACAACAATTAAACAGCTGCAAGACAATGCGAAGAGAAACAATACAAGATTGATAGGTGTCAGTGAAAAAGCAGGGTCAACACAAATGACACAAGAAGACTATTTACAGAAATAATGCAGGAAATTTTCCAAACATGGGAAGAGAATCTGATACACAGATAATGAGGCATATAGAGCCCCAATCAGCCATAACCAAAATAAATCTTCATGCAGGCATCTAAGAATTAGGATACCAGACATTCAGCACAAGAACAAAATACTAAAAGCTGTCAGACAAAAGAAGCAGATCACTTATGAAGGAAAATCTATCAGAAGCAGACTTCTCAGCACAAAGCTTCAAGTCAAGAAGAGTTTGGAGTGAAGTACTTCAAGTCCTGAAAGAAAACAACTTCCAACCCAGCTTGACGTACCCTGCAAAACTATCTTTGTAAATTAATGGAGAAATAAGACACTTCCATGACAAAGAACAACAGAAGAAACTCATGACCACCAAACCAACACTTTCTAGAGTGAAAGACACTCTAGAAAGAGATAAAGATAACTACAATGCCAAGAACAGTGGCAGAAGGAAACCACTAAGCAGGGTAAACAAGCAGAAAACAGTAAAAAGCCAACAACAGAAAGATAACACACCATAAGTTAGTGCATATCAGTTACATCTATCAGTGTACGTGATCTCAACTCACCCATAGACTGAAAACAAGTAACCCTGGAAAATAATTTTAATGCATTCGTATACACAGAGAAAGCCACACTCTTAAGTAGGAAAGAGGGAAAGAGAGAGGCCAGTAAAAAAAAAATCATTATTTTTAAAACTTATAAGTGCATATTTTTCTCCTCATAAGTAAATGTATACAGTGCAATGTGGGACCTACAATGTAGAGAATTATATTTGTCAATGATACCACAAAGGAGGTGAATAAGGCCAAAGATTCATAGAGCTAAAGAAATGACTACAGTTGATAAAACAATAAGTATAATAAAGGAAGCAGTAAAGAAGGAATAAAACCCAAAACATGAGACATAAAAAACAGAAATTACAGTGACAGATGTAAACCTGACTGGCCATTAATAGCGCTAAACATGAATAACCAAATCCAGTTAAAAGAGATCATCAGACTTAGTAAAGAAAAAAAACACATGGGCTGGGATGCGGCTCAGTGGTAGAGTACCTTCTACACACACAGGCCTGAGGTTAATCCTCAGTGCTGCAAACGAGAAAAAGGAGACAGAGAAAGAGAAAAGAAAAATATGATCAGTTCTATGCTCTCATAGGAAACTCAATTTAGATTCAAAGAATGGAAAAACAACTCATGTAAGCAAAAACCACAAGAAAGCTACAGTCACTTTACTACTACCAGACTAAGTAGAAAAAGAAAAAAACTTACTAAACACAGACAGACATCTCATAGTGATAATATGGTCAAACAAATATGCCCTTAACAACAGAGTGCCAAAATACATGAAGCAAAAACTACAGGAAAGAAAGAAAGAACAAACCAAATACAATAGTCGAACATTTCATAATTCTGTTTTCAATGCTGGGTAGAGAAATTAAACTAAAACAACAAAGAAATAGAAGATTGAATGATACTTACACAGCCCCAACTCTTGCCTAGCAGGCTGTAGGCTGTAGAACATCACACTTAATAACAAAACACGCATCCTTCTCAGATGCACATAAAACATCTTCATATAACCCATCTGCCAGCGCATGAACCAAACCTAATAAAATTTAAAGGGCAGCAATGACAGTAAGCACATTCTCCAGCCATGGTCAAAAGAAATTAGAAATAAACATCAGGAAAAACGTGAAACTCACAAATAGGCGGAAATGAAACAACACACTCTTAAGTAGGAACATAAAAAAAGTGAATTAAAAATACTTTGAGATGAATCAAAATGAAGACATTCCACGCCAAAACTCATATGATCAGTCAAAGTTGTGATTCGAAGGAAATTTATGTCTGTTAAGTGCCTGCTTTAATAAAGAAGAAAAATCTGAAATCAATGGCCTACTCTTCCTCTCTAAGACACTAGAAAAAGGACAAACTAAATCTAGAGCAAGCAGAAGGAAAAGAATAATAAAGAGCACAGAAGAAGTTAATAAAATTTAAAACAATGGGAAACATGGGTGAAATAAAAATTTGTTCTTTGAAATTATTAACAATATTAATAAGTCTTTAACTAGATTAACGTAGAGAGACAGAGACAGAGATCTCAAATTATTAGACTCAGTTATTAAACAGAGGAAAATGCCATTGACCCCACGGAAAGTTTTTTAAAAGGATTATAAAGGAATACTAGGAACATACTAGGCATACCAAAATAGATAACTTAGGGAAACGGACAGATTTCTAGAAACATAAACTATCAAAAGTGACTCAAGAAGAAATAGACAATCTGAATACACATACCAAGGGAAGAGATTGGATTAGTAATTAAAAAGCTAACCACAAAGAAAAATAAACCCAAATATCTTTCCTACTGAATTTTTCCAAACATTTAAGGACTTAATAAAAATTCTGTACAAACTATTCTAAGCAATAGAAGAGAAAGAAACGGGGCTGGGGATTTAGCTCAGTGGCATAAGCGCCTGCCTTGCAAGCAGGTGGTCATGAGTTCGATCCCCAGTACCAGAAAAAAAAAAAAGGAGAGAAGGAAACACTTCTCAACTCAGTGTGTCAGACTATTTCTATGATACCAAAACCAACCAAAAAAATCACAAGACAAATATCTCTTACAAATGTAGATACCAAAATCCTCAAAAAAATTATAACACATCAAACTCAGCAATATCTAAAAAGAACTCTAGGCTCTAACCAAGTTTTTCTTCCAGGAGTGTGTGTGGCTCAACAGTTTAAATAATATAATACAGCGTATCAATAGACTTAAAAACTCATATGAACATCCCAACTGGTGCAGAAAAAGCACTCAACAAAGCCCGCTGAAAACACTCAATAAACTAAGAATTAAGAGAGCTTCCTCAATCTGCTCAGGGAGCTTCAGGAGAAACCCAGAGATGGCAAGAGAAATTCCTTCTAAAATCAGGAAAAATAAAGATGTCTGCCCTCAGCACTTCTACTCAGCGTTGTAATGGAGATTCTAACCAAGGCAATAGGAAAAAGTAAAATAAAAGGCATCATTAGAAAAAAAGAAATGAAACTATTTCTGTTTACAGATGACATAATCTTATGTACAGAAAATGTTAAGGAATTGATTGATGAATGACTAAACAAAAATGTGAAATATTTATACAATGGGATGTTATTTGGCCATAAAAAATGAATGAATCCCGGGGATTTAGCTCAGCAGCTTAAGCACCTGCCTGGCAAGCATGAGGCTGTGAGTTCAATCCCCGGTACCAAAAACAAAAAGAAATGAATATATTTCTGATATATATCAGAAATGAATATATTTCTGATATATGGTACAATTTGGATGATCATTATGCTAAAATGAAAGAAGCCAGTCCCAAAAGCCCACATACTATATGATCCCATTTCTGTGAAATGTCCAGAACAGGGAGCACAGGGCTTTCTTCAGAGGAGAGCCCCAATCCCAGCCTGCATCGCTGCCGTCTATCTTGGGCAAGTCACTCTGATCTTCAGGTTCATCTTCTATAACATGAGTCAGCTGTGCCTCATGACATTGTGACAAGGCTCACCTGAGGTAATGGAAGACAAAAAGGCTTTGGGGGATCATTAAACACCTTTCTCCACAGAGGCAGCCTCCCAAGCAAGGGGTGACTCCTCTGTCAAGCAAGGGGTGAAATCCAAAGTTCTGCCAAGAGGCCTGTTAGCTGGGTGAACCCATGCTGGGGGGCCTTCCTAGACAAAGCCATGCTTCTGTGCAGGTGGACACAGAGCGCAGGTGAGCTGAATGCCCTACCCAGCCAGCTGCACCAGCCATCAGCTGCCCCGGCCATCAGCAGGCACCTGACTCTCCTGGGGAAGTTCAGAGGCCAGGGTGCTTCCACTCTGTCTCTTCCGTCAGGACTTGGGGCGGAGGGTGGCAGTGGAAAGAGCCGACAGGCACACGGCAGTGAACGCCCATTTGGATACCCCAGGCTCCTCCTGCTGCCCAGATGCTTTCACCCAAACTCCTCCGGCCCCACCTCTGTGTCCTCACCATAAGCCAGGCTGGCTCGGGTACACTGCAGAAAGCAGGATAAACTTAGGCTGTTCTGCATGGTTGCAAGTTCAGAGGCTTTGAGGTTTCTGCATCTGTCTATGAAGCTCTAGAAACACCTCGATCTTTGGATAGCTCCATCTCTCTCCTTCCTGTTCCCTCAATGGATACTGCACCCCAGGCCGCCTGTTTCCCTTAAGTTCCCCCTAGACACCCTCTCTGGGGATGGAGGGTACTTCAATTTATTTCATCCTCCCATTTTGATTCCGCGAGACTTAGGGAAGCAGAAGAAGAAGGGTTTTGCTCGGAGCCTTCATGGGGACGCATGAGCAAGGGAGAGGCAGGTCATCTCCGTCTGCATCAGGGCCAAGAAGGGACCAGCAGAGGTCAGAGGCATCCATTCGTCCCCGCTGTGGCACCAGAAGACAACGAAGCGTCCCACCCAACCCTGCAGGCTGCCCTCTGCCTTGTTTTGGTCTCTGGATGCAGAGGGGAGATTCCCACCCCGTAGAGACTGGGGCTCCTCATGCTTGGGCTCACAGCTCACTCACCCGGCTCCAGATCTCCCACCAGCCAGCTCAGTCCCTGACACCCAGGACTCGCTCCTGGATGTTGAAGTGAGTCTTGAGGACAAGGCCACACTTGATTCAGCTCTGTCCTCCCAGACTAACACAGCACTCACTATTGTACTAGTGAACACCCCATGTCCCCCTGCCCCGGACGAGACCCCCCCCAGGTTGAACACCCAGAAGATCTTGCAAACCAGTGCTGAGTTTCAGACATCTGTTACATGGCACAGCCTGAAACTGAGGTTTTACCAGGTGAGAGTTCCCCCAACCACGCACAAAGGGGCAGAGTAAGAACTCTATCTCACTACCCTACACATAGACCAACTGGGTTGCCAGGGCTGCGGCCCCGCCCACCTGTGCACCATTACCATCAAAACACACTGCAGGAAGGGGGAAACCCAAAGCCCGGTGTCTGTGGTTTCACCTCGAGGGTACCACGTTTGACTGCAGGTGTCCAAGCAGAGAGTAATGCAACAGGTGTGTGTGAGGTCTCGCCCACCAGGTGTCCGCAGGACAAACCAGTCTTGAGCCTGCTGCAGGGAATGGTTTTGAACTCCCTCCGGGGATGGGGGAGGAGGACACGCAGGTGTAAAAGTCATGCAGATGAGAAATCCTCCACATGTGTCACTTAAAAGTTAACAGGTTTGATTCAAGCCCCCACCTCCACCCCACCCCCTGAAGGACTGGGAACAAAACTTTGTATGAAGGGGGATCCCTCGGGGGACCCCCTCCCACACCCAGCTGTGCCCTCCCCCTCCTTTCTCCTGAACAAAACCCCAGACTTCCTGAATCCAAGTTCCTGTGGCGGACTCAGGCTCTGGGGGACTTAGAAGAGAGATGGACAGGAGCAAAAGAAGATTTGCAGGGAGCTGCTAAGGGCACCCCAGAGCCCTAAAAGGAAGTAGAGGGATTATGAAAGCTGTGCCTCGTGCACAGAGGAGGGTTCACCACGAAACAAATAAACCAAGCCTCAGGCCCTTGACTTGCATTGATCCTTCAAGCCCCCCCAACTTAATTTTATATTCTTGTTCTAAGAAAGCCTCTAAGACTGTAAGAACCTTGGGCTCCACCAAATCTCAGTCTTCTTCAGCTTCCAAGGAGGCGCGTCTCTTCTGCAAGATAAGCTCCCATTTCTCCCCCAGCACAGTATCCAACACTGCCATCCGCCAGCCTCAGCCTACGAGTCCTGCCTGAGTATTTTCCCGTCTAGCCAAACCTGAGCAGAGCAAGAAGGTGCCTGCCCCCTGGCCTTGGCTTGGGGTGTTCTCCTGTGTGCCTTTCCCCTGACTTTTCAGCCTGGTTAACCACTCAGGCTTCAAGAGCCTCAGCAAATACTGTGAGGCATCTAGGAAGGCTGGTTAGAGAGAAAGCCAAGTGGATGTGAAACCAGCACCACGCTCTGAGGTTCCTTAAAGTCCTAGGCAGGACCAGCACTCCGCCCTAGGTTCTTTGCTGGGCTCTGTGTGTCCCTCCATCAGAGGGACCCCACTCAGATCTGCAGCTTCGGGGATGTAACTGCTACCCAGGCTGTGGACCCTCCAGGGTCCTGACAGTCTGCATCCCCAAAGCCTGCTAGGCCAGGCCTCCCCTCCTGGGTGCAGGGCAAATACAGGAAGCGCTGAAAGGCTCTAGTGCGGAGGGAAAGCCAGAGTGATTCAAAAGGTCAGAGCGTGGTACTGGTTTCCCACCTGCCTCTTTTTCTCTTGACACATCCCTGAGAAACCGTTCCCGGGGCCTGTGCGCCCTCTGGTGGCTGAAATGGCTCCTTCCCCCAAGAACTAGGCAACAGGCAGGACCGGGCATCCTTGAACCTGCTGTAGAGTTCCTAGACCCCTCCCAAGCTCACCACCCTCTCCAACATGTTCATGGGGGTCTTATTCACTTGGAAATATGTTACAAAGTATGTCATTTCTTGTCCCAGATGGGGCTATGAGGACTCATTCATGGTTCCAAACACCCCTCCCTAAGCCCTGTTCCCCAGTGATGGTGGTTCCCATACCTGCCTTCAGGATATTATAGAAGAAAAACAAAGACAATTTCCACTTCCTGTGTCTCTTGCATGACATTCATGCTGTGGCTTCCAAGACATTCTGGAGTCTCTAAGTAAGGCCCTCGAATCCCAGGGCCTCTAAGTACCTGGGCCTGTGTCAAGGAGGACGAGCTGTGGAGACTGGATCCTGCAGGGATCAGTGTAGCAAAGCCACGCCTCATTAAGGACCCATCGATGACTCTATTTCAATAGTCTTGCTCACTTTGTGTCATATATTACCGTCATCACGCCAGCCCACCACCTCCGGTTGGGCACAGGGCTTTGTGCTTTGTTAGAGCTGGACAATGCTGTATTCATGCTCGAAGGTCTTGCCCTTCACAGGACGTGCCTTCTGCAGGTGTCTCCCACTGTCCATGACACACGCCTAGTCATTTCCCTTCATCTCCCCTGGATTCTGAAGAAATTCGTGCTGAAACCCCCAGTCTAAACAATTCCTTCATCGCCTCCTTCCCACGCCATTTCATGACTGCCTACAAAATACCACTTAATAAGGTCCTCTTCTAGGAAGGCTTGCTTGGTCATTTATTTATTTAACACATAATGATGCGCTGCTGTTTTGCCACAGGCAAGGCACATAGACCCGAGAGCAGCAACCCAGACTTGGGGCGGGGGCTTGGAGTCAGGCTGCTCTTCCGGGATGGGCGTACTACTGGGGGTAAGCACAGTTCTGGGAGCACAGCCAGGAACCCAGATTTGGGGGTTGTGGCAACTACGCTGTGGCTGTGGTCCTGTCCTGTGGCTGCAGGGTGTTTAGCATCCAGGTGCAGGGCAGGCGTGGGTGAACGCTATCTGACCAGGTGCCGTGAACAGCAGGGCGGGGGTTTTGCAAAGGGAAGGCAGGTTGAAGGGTTCGCCTGGGGCTGGGTGGAGAAGGCTGACAGCAAAGCCAGGAAGAGGCTGATGGGAGGGACTGAAAGGTAACGAGCTACAGGTCTGCGGGGAGGAAGGGCAGGTGTACGGAAAGGGAGCAGAAAGCCAGTAGGCCGGAGAGTGTGACCAGGGACTGTGCACTAGACACTGAGCTTTACCGTGTCAAGAGGCAATATTTGTGAAATTAAGCACAAACAGCTTAAACATGAAAAATTACATTCACCTGCAGTTCATCCAAGCCTGTAATTTGATACCTGGAGCTGGGGACAAGGTAACACAGTCTGGAGACTATGGACCCTCAGTCCTATAGGTCAACTAATTAGGGCAGTTGATTGGTTGTCCTACCTAATTCAAGCAAGATTTGTCATTGTGAAAAAAAAACACCTCCCAAGTACCTATGGCTAGTCACCCTGCTGGCAGAGGGAGTCACCCTCCCAACACATGTTGAGGGCTTCTCACCTCGGGTCTGTGTCCCCCTCCCCGGTGATAAGTGATCCTCTGTCCCCTTTTCAGTGTCTGTCCCTCTTTCCACTGCAGCTTCCTTCTTCTCACTCCAAACTCAGGGTCAGTGTCCCCCCAAGGCCTGGATGGGGGGGATGAAACTATTGTTTCATCCAAAAACGGACCCAGGCAGCCACAGCATGGGCACCCAGAAAGTGACAGCGCTCAGGAGGGCGTTCAGGATGGGTGGCTTGGAGTAGGGATCAACTAGAGACATGCTTGTGAGAACATGAGAAAGCTCAGAACTTTTAGGAACTTGGGGCTAGGTGCGTCTCCCCTAAAGTAGGGGTAGCCCAGATGAGGAGCTGAGAGCCCAGTGCCTGGCCTAGTGTCACCGGGATGTACTCTGACTTTAGAGCTGGGTCGCCACCTGTGTCCTGCCTACAGGCCCGACTGTCCCGCGCTGGGCTCTTATGCAGACCTGGGTACCTGGGGAAAGGTGAGGCAGGAATTTCAGGGTCTCTCCCGCTGCCTGGCCCCAAAGAGAGCACAGCTCCTGAGGCACTGGTGAGAATGGTAGGGAAAGGGCTGGGGATTTAGCTCAGTGGTGTAAGCGCCTGCCTGGCAAGCACAAGGTCCTGAGTTTGATCCCTGGTACCTCAAAAAAAAACCAAAAAACAAACAAATAAAAGAACAGTAGGGAAGCAGAAGTGAGGTCAACAAAGGACAAAATGGGACGTTACAAACAGGACAGAACCAGCTGTGACTGGGCTGGGTGAGGCCTCTCCAGGCCGCGGTCTTATCTGGAGAGGGGCCTCCCTGTTCCTCCACGCTCGGGCTTGCCCAGGCTGGTATCTCTGGCACAGCCTCAGTTGAAATCACCAGGCACTTATCAGACCTACACGGTCCAATGCACAGATCTATAGGAACCTAGGTGGACAATTAAAAACCATCCACGACACTCTGGGAGGCTGAAGCAGGAGGGCCACACATTCAAGCCCAAATTGGACAACTTAGTGACTGAATGAGACCCTGTCTCAAAAAGAGGCGGAGGATGAAACTCAACGTGAGGGCCCTGAGTTCAATCTCCAGTACTGGGGCGGGAAGGCGGGGTGGATCCCATGACAGCTGGGTGCACCATGGAGCAGCTATAGCCAGGAAATGTGTCAGGCTTCTCATTCACCATAGATATCATCACATCGCACTGAACTGATGGAGAAGTGGGAAGACAAGACCAGGAGTGTAAAGAACACCGTTGCCTGTGCAGCCTGGGATGCACGAAGGTGGGTCTCCACTAGGCAGCCCGCAGGCCTGGTGGGCCCTGCCTCTGCCACTTACCAGGGCTCACCTCTCTCATCTGGAACAGCGAGCCGCCTTTTAAACCCTGCCCCGGAGTAGTTAAAGTCTAACTCACAGGAAAGGACACCTCCAGCTGCAGCACGCTGCCCAGATGGTGGCCACCAGTGCCCAGCAGAAGCCAGGGAATGGGGGCTCCAGTGCCAAGACAAGAAAACAGTGAGCCTCTGGGTGCCTTGGAAATCCCTCTGTCTCAGACGGCCCTCCAGTGTGATGCCTCTGTTCTTCCCTGACCTGGAAAAGATTCCCCAAGATTCCCCAAGCGCTCCCCCACTTAGCACCCTGATAATGCACTGCAATGCTGTTAGCAACTCCCAGATGTAGACACGAGTTGAGGCTCTCAGCACTGCAGGAGAGACTTACAGTTAGGAAATGCACCCCGGGCAGCAGGACCCGCTGGGGCCCTACAAT